AGAATGCTGTCGACAGAGCGTAAAAACCCCTTTCTAAATAAGACGGGTGAGATCTGCAGGGGCCGGGGCAGTCTCAGTCTTGACTGATGTCACCAGTGCATGAGGTACACACTTACTGAGGCCACCAGGCAGCTAATGTAGCAACAGGCTGTGTCTCGGAAGGAAGAAGCTGCACCATCCCCGAAATGTCACTTCTGCTGTCCCCATACTCTGATCATCACCTTCTGTTCAGCTTTTCCCCACCAGCCCTGTCACTCAGCGAGTCCCAGATGGCACAGAGACCGCCAACCATGGACCCCACCGCTCTAGCACTGCTGTCACCCCCGCCCCCGTGTCCCCATGTCCCCTCTCCCCTCCTCACTGGGTTTGGATTCCTTGGTTCAACACTACGGTTGCTCCTTTGCAAAACACTTTAACTTCCTCTTCCTTGTCCTCCCGTGTACCTGCCTGACACATCCCCTTGCCACCGTCTGCCTGCCCTGTGTGCGCCCTGTGGCATCTAACCATTGCTGGAGGGAAAAACAAAAAACAAAAAACAAATACACGCAACCACATTCACTGGATTTGCATCACACTGAACGACCACAAGCCTCAAATGGGCAGCCAGCACTCCTGGGTGACTTGACTACCCTTCCTAATAAGTGAACATGCCCATTCGCTGAGATAATTATTTCAAAACTTCTTTCTTCCCAAACCTCCAACATTCCACCACCTCCAAGTCACTCTCCTATTTCACAGAGAAAATAGGAAGGATCCGATGGGACCCTCCTCTTCCCACCAGAGATTCCCTAACCCTCTCATCTTCCGCCTTCCCTCTCGCTACAGTGGAAGGGGTGTCTTTACTCCCCTCCCAGCCCCCTCTCTCCTCCTCAAGAACTTCACTGCTACAATTACTTTCTGCTCTCTCATGCACCCTCAGTTTCTCCCTTCGCATGTCTTAGATGCTGACACCTTTATTACACATTTGTATTATGATTCGATACATTGTTAATATACAGTGCACTCTATTATGTATTTATTTTGTTATACACTGTTTCCAGGAAGCCAAAAATTGTTTCCCTGACTTTAGGACTTTGTCCAGCTGCTATTTCTCTGCTGGCTTTACAGCAAACTGACTTGAGTCAATTTCTTCACTTTCCATTTTCTCCTCAACCCACACAACTGGACTTCTGTCCCTACCCCTGGACTGAAAGGGCTATTACCGTTGGAATAAAAGACAGATGATCTCCACCTTGCTTGAAAACACTGTTTCTCTCTCTGTCCACCTCTTCCTCGATTTCTCAGCAGCATTTGATATTGACGACCGTCTCCTTGAAACATTTTCTTCTTTTAGGCTCCCCGATGCCCCCTTCATCCGGTTTTCCTTGTACTTTACCAGCTGGTCTTTCTAAGACTCCTGTGACTGTTCTTATTTCTCTCTCAGACCCCTAGGTGCTGGAGTCCCCACGCTGCTGTACTTGGCCCCCTCTTCTATGTCTACGCTTTCTTCCTCGAGGAGTTTATCCAGGTATGGTGCTTTGTAATATCATCCAAACACCCAAATCCACACTCCTAAATTTATGCCTCTGACATTGGCCTTTTCCTGAAGTCCGGGTCCTTATAGCCAACCACCTACTCACTTCCTGCTTGAATGTTTGATAGACATTTAAATATAACACGGCTGAGACAGTCTCCCCGACTCATGGTCCCCTCAAACTTTCTCATCTCAGTAAAGCCCCCGTCCCCCAATCCAGCTGCTGGCCAGAGGGCTATCCTTAGTCTCTATTTCCTGCACACTCCACATCCAAGCTACCAGTGGACCCTGTTGGCTTTACCTCCACAGTATCCAAAATACATCCCACACTAGGTCCCAAAGTAAATCCCAAATCGGACCGTGTGTCACCCTGTCCACAGCTGCCACGGGCGTCCAAGTCACTCGCGTCCACTGTAATTGACCTCCAGTGGATGCCACGTCTGCCCCACTTCCCCCATACTTTCTACATAGATCTTGCTAACACTTACATCAGATCATACATCACTCCCCTGTTCAAAGACCTCAAAACACTTCTGGCCCAATCCCAGTAAAACCCAGATTCCTTACTCTGACCTACGAGGCTGACCCCACTCGAGCCGCACTGCCCACCACACTCCCTCCCGCCTCAGAATCTGGGTCCTTGTTTTTCTCTCCAGAACACTCGTTTTCCTGATCTTTGCACGGCTGCAGTTTCAGCTGAAATAGCACCTTCTCAGAGAAGCCTTCCCTGACCACGTGGTAAAGCAGCCCTCCCCCACAAGGCAGGACACTGCCGTCACCTTTTACCTTCTCTGTGGCACTTAAAAGTATTTAACTCGTTTGGAGGCCAAATTAGAGTCATTTCCCTTGGGGCTGAAAAAGTGTGCAGTCCCATCTGCAGGGGTGGAAAGGCCCAGTGGCTTCTCGAGTGCCCTTTGAACTACACGGCTGATGGTGATGGCAGATCTCCAGGTGCCCATCCGTCCCTCAGCTCATGACCTGTGCTCCATGCAGCCAATTCATACTGGGAGCTCTTTGCAGGAACTAGATCCCACTCATCCGCTTGGTGTAAGCAGGTGATATGATCTCGAGACGGCTACAGTGCTTCTCTCCAGCTGTTCCTTCTACAGAATGGGATTCCTGACACCTGCTCTGACCTGCAGACATGGACTTCTCCCGGGAATGAGAGACAGGAGCCATTCAAGACATGCCTTCCCTGCCTGCTTTGTCCCTTTAAAGGTTTCTCCAAGTGTCTGTAGACCACCTGTGTCAGTCTCCTGGAGTGTTCGTTAAAAACAGATTCCTAGGCCCCGTGCCAGAGCGGCACACCAGAACCTCTGAGTGGAGCCCAGGAATTTCCTGGGAATGTGCATTTGCAGCAGGTGCCCCAGGTGACCCTCACGCAGCCTTCATTTTGAGCACTGCCACTTAAGATGTTCAAAAAGTTTGACACGAGTTCTCCACACAGGACAGTAATGCTAAGCCCCGTACTTGGATGACAGAACTGCGATTTGAAATACATGTCCTGTGGGTCCGCTATCCAGCAGGGCTCTGAGTTTGACCCATATATTCTGAATCCAATCAGGGTCACCTCTGGAAGTGGCTAATGTAAGAGCGGCTCTGGCCTTGGTCAAATTCAGGAATCATGAATGCCTGCATCTCTCAGTTTCACATCTTGAGCTCACATAGCCCGCACCGGGAGGCTCCTGACGGAGACACCGCCGAGCAGCCCTCCTTGGGGGAAGGTACCATAAAGAAAGGCGAGTGATTCAGGTGACTGTTCCTCCCTCCAGGCCTCCCTCCCTCCCTCACTCCTCCCACTTCTTTCTCTTTCAATTTAGTGCTTGGCCCTGTGTGTGCTGTAACAGGAACAAGATAAAAGGAAGCACATGTCTCCTCTTTATAAATATATTCTTTTGAAATATTTTAATTTCACTTTTTCTAACAGCAATATAGAAACAAACAATCATAAAAAATAAAATTATAAATTGTCCATAGATTACGTAATAGCACTTGGTATTGCTACACGGAGGAGGCCTGAGGCTGGGTCAGGTCATCTCAAGCTTGCCCGGGCTCCCCAGGCCTGTGATCACTGCTGAGCCCACGAAGGCGTCAGACATCACCCTGCGAGGCAGTGTCATGGAGACTTCGAGTTTTACACCCAGGGGTCCTTGAGGGATGGCAGGGAGACGGGTAGATAATGAGTAAAACTGCAACAGCATCGTATACGCGTGGTAAAGCTGGAAGGCTGCCCTGGGGAGCTGGGCACGCAGGTTAGGCTGCGACTGACTCAGGTGTTTCTTGACCCACAGGAGGCAGGGACTTCACAAAGCCGAACTGACTTGGTTAGTTGCCTGTGTTCGCCATGGAAATAAGGACGCTAACAGACACTGGACAGTGAGTAAGAAAACACACCTGTCTTTTCCCCGCACTTCTCTTCCTGACTTCTCCTCCCCCCTTATCCCAAAATTAAATTCCCTTGGCATGAACTAAGCACAAAAGCTGAGACATCTAACCTATTCCAAAAAGTGCGCCTATTGCAAAACCTATTCCATCAAGTGTTCTTGATCTCAAAGAATCATTAGGTCAACTGAGCAACTAAATTGCCCAGTTGACTCCGACTCAACTGGGTTGACGAAATTCAGGTAAACCACTCAGCTGTGGCCGGACCCAGCTTTTTTAGTTACTGTAATGACTGGTTCCTAGAAAGAAAACTAATCAGTTTGGCCCTCTTTTCAGTTGTGGAATGCGCTTGCCTGTGTGGGTTCAAGTGTGCGTATGTGCACGTCTCTGAAGAGTGAGCTTGTGTGCAGGCTGGCCGGCCACCTCAAGGGCTCTTCTGGAGGACAGCTGGCGGGCACGCCTCTGTAGGACTTGGCAGCGCTCAGACAGAACCCCTGAGGAGAGGCATCAACTAACTAGAGAAAACCTCCCTCCTTCCTGCCTGCGGAGGAGCCGGCCTGAGGAGGCCTAGCCTTCCACCGAGGGCTTCTTCATGGACAAATGCTCTGCGCCTCAGACTTCTGCCACTGCTCAGAGTCGAAGGAAAAACAGATCTTGGCTACGTGGTAATACCGTCTTTGAAGGAAGCGTAAACCCTCCGGCTCTTGGAAGCCACAAGAAAACACCAAATTCTTTTCTAACTAGGGACCGGTCATCCACAAACTCCCACTCCTGGCCCACAAGAGAAAAGCAACCGCTCCCCAGTGTGGGTCATGGTGTGTGTGTGTGAGCATGCCTGGGCCCCACTGAAATTCTACAGGAAGACGAAGCATGAAAGACAGAGCAACAGGACGCCTCACATCGACAGTGGAACCCGGACGCAGTAGGACTGGTAACTCGGCGTGGCGGGGGGGGGGGGGGGGGGGGGGGGGGGGGGGG